GAAAAGAAGAAAAGAGAGGAAAAAGAGAAAACAAAGCCAAAAGCGCAGAAAAGAAAAAGAAAGAATAAAGAAAGAACTTCCAATTTTCTTTACAGCAGTTACAAGTATAAATATAAATTTACCTCTCACTCTCTGGTTACATCATGATTTTCATTTTTCTCTATAATCTTTTTTTTTTGTTTTAATCTTCAAAACCAGCTAGCGTTCACTGGCATCTGTCCTGCAATGAGCTCCAGATCCAGAGGACTATTTTTTCTGTGCATGTTAAGCCTCAGTTTGCACACACACACACACAGACACACACACACACAGCCTAATAAAATCTATATTAATAAATCTAAAACTTATTAGATGTCTTTTATACTTTAGAGAGTCGATGTGTAGGATTGGAGTAGCAGCAGCGAGGTCTAAACTGAAGCCCGTCCTCAGCCACAGAAGAGCCCTGGATGACTTTGGGCCAGCCTCTCTCTTAGCCCAACCCAACTTGCAGGATGGCTATGGGGAAAAATGGAAGGAGGAGCACAGTATGTACTGCTTTGAACTCCTGAATGAAAGGTGGGATATAAATGTAATGGATGAATATTAATATTAATGGTCCTGGCTATAAAGACCAGGTGGGAAATATGGCACCTCCAGACTATAAGTTGAGTGAGCCAGGGAGAAAATGATGACAGGAGAGTGCAGACACAGGGAAGGCAAAAAACACCTTTAACTTAAGCACTTTGTCTCATAAATTGATACCCCCTCCCATTTATCTTGTCCTATCATTTTAATTTTAACTTGGTCATCAAAAACTGAAGAAAGAGCTGGGGGGCGGGTGTGGAGGGTGCAGAAATAAGAGGTGGGGATGCAGGCAAACTCCAGACGGCATCTTACACTTCCAAGATAAAAAGCATGGATGAAACCAATGGGTTGTGTGATAGATGCAAATTATTCAACATCTCCACGCAGTTTCAGATTTTCCTCTCCCTCAAATAAAGTTGGATGCAAACAACAACAACGATGAGTAGATGATTCCAAATTTTAGGTCATAGCTTCTCTTCTATTCAGATAGCAAGGAACACAACCCCAGATATTTGGGGTTGTGAAACCCCACTTTGCCACTTTCACACTCAGGCTGAGATCAGCACCGCTCCCCTTCTGTTCCTATCTGAGGCTAAAAATGTAAAGAAGAGACAGCCATATTTAATGCACTAACGACAGGCTCAACGGCGTGTGTTGTGTGTGTGCTAGCTTCCTTTCAAGAAATAAATTTGCTCTCCTTTTGAGTTATCAGCCGCGAGAGCACCCCCAGTGTTCCATTTATTTCCCCTGGAATTATGCAGCCCCAAACAGCGACAGCCCGCAAACCACACCATGGCTTTTCTAAGAATCGCTGCTACGATAAACCAGTTAGAAAAATCCAATAAACTTAATGTCTCACTATACCAGCTTCCATCCCTATGGAGCTATGGCCCTGCCATAAATATAGGCCGTTTCTCCTTGCAGGAAACCATCCTTCCCCCCCTCTGAAAACCGAGATTTCATTTAGCTGAGGAGCACTCCACTCATAAATAGCCGTGTGCAGTAAGGTACATTAATGTCGGCTTGATTAAGACAATTGATCAGTTAAGGGTAAGGTCATCGGCTGGTTTGTGAGTGATGTGCCAGGCTACCAACATATGCGAGTGATGCCGCCAATGCCCTGGAGAAGGGAGCGGCTTCCTTGTGGCCATGCCCCGCCTGGAACACAGCTGCCTTCCAACCCGTTGCCCTGTGCACTTTCATTTGGCTGCTTCATGCATCCCCATGATGGATGGCGCTGACAGGTTAAATTACCCAGGCTGCACATCTTCGGAAAGCTGCCGACAAGGATATTGCATTTTCTGATTATCTAGAACCTGTGCGGGTTTTAAAACCTGGTGAAGGGAGGGTGGGCCAATGCACAGTCACCCAAGCCAAGGGAGGGGAGCCTGTGCAAACAGTTCTTAGTCACTCCGCAGCTCGAAAGAGGCATAAAGGGCAGAGTTGGGAAGCAGGGACAGTTATCAGAGTAACGTCTGCGCTAGATGCTCAGCCTCTTTCAGCTCTCTATCGGCTCTCTTCCAGAGTTCCTCACAAGGCAGCCTCTTCAAAGTAAAAAATGGAGGTCTGCTTGGCCACAGAGCAGGGGATGGACAGGGCCTGAAGTCCACCCCGCATGAAAACTCAGCATCAGGACCACACGCTCTGTGCAAACAATTTGAAAGAAGCATTTCAGACCTCATAGCAGCATGGTTCTTCTCTGCTCTTTGTTAAAGCAGCCCTGCTTTTTCCAGAGATGCAGCTGCTTTCAGGAGCCCAGTCATTACAGGCAATGCAACTCTTAAAGCAGCTACATTAAAAAAAAAAATCTACTGCTTTAAGAACAGAAAGAGGTGCTTTCTCAGGGAAAGTCCAAGGTATTTCTGAACCATTTTCAACAGAGCTCTCCTGGATTTCTTCTCAGCTCACCCATTTTTCCATTTGGAGGGAGCCATCATTTTTTCCAGTCCTTCACCTGATGCTAAAGGCTTGCAGAATCTCATAGCTGGGCTAGCCCTGCCTCCATCTTTAACTGAGAAGTGCAGAAAAGAAAACCTTTTTTCATCAATGATACAAGAGCAACGGAGAGGGGAAGAGACTCGACAGCCTCACCTCACAACCCCCCTCCAAATTCCACAACTACCAAAACCTTTTCTGAAGAGTGGGCCTTTGGGGTGCATTAGCAGAGGTTTCGCAACCCTATGAAATGCACGCTGTTCAGCAATAAATTATCTCCTTTGCAGAAAGGCCTATTAATCACTTTTTTAAAAAAAAGTAAAACAGCTCATTTAACCTTTTTATTTACTTTTGGCAGTCATGACAAACACCTTATTCCAGCATCGGCTCTTAGTTGCCTGCAGCATTATACTTCTAAGGTAAGAATTTACCAGCTGTTCTTTGGTGGAGTTTCCCTATGTTATTTTCCTTCGGGCTTCCTTACAGGGGCTGGTGCTTCTTCAAAACAAAATTGGCAAACTCTAAGCAACTCTTGCCTGAATCCACCCCACCTTGTGTCTGCACTCTGGCATGTTTCTGGTAGCCTGTAAGATTCTTTCACAATTCCCTGGAAGCTCTAATAATGAAACCAAGGCTTGAATGTTTTGAACAGATAATAGAAAGGCAAGTCATTGGATAAAAGCCCAATGCTTGGAAAAATCAAAGGCAATTGAGAAAAGGGTTGGCTGAAGACACGATGGCTAGCTACTGTCATGGATGACCCAAGGAGGAATTTAAAAGGACTCAAAGAAGCAGTTACTGACACATGACTCGGGCAAAATAATCTCCATTGGATCATGAAGAGCCAGAAGTCAGAAGTGACTGAATAACGGCACATCCACAAAGCTCCTTTCAGGTGTGAGTTTTGTCTTACTGAGTAACAAACAAAAGAAATCCTGAGAAATCAAAGCTGTAACAAAATAGCTTATTTTTAAAGGTGTGCAGTAAAAAAAGTCACTATATTATTATTATTATTATTATTATTATTATTATTATTATTATTATTATTTGATGTTAATAAGGAGAGCAATCTTTCATGGGCGCTCAGCATTAATTAAATGTGCTGTAAAGATAATTACACACAGATCCATCAGGGATCATGGGTTGACTGTCACTACAGAGTAGCAATGCTGAATTCACACTCGACTGGTGTCACCATCACATGGCTGTTAAGAGAAAATAAATGTATCCCAAATGGACAATTTCATTTAGAGAGTTAAAAAAAAAAGAAGAAGAAGAAGGGAAAAAAGGGGAGGGAATGGGATTGTGAAGGATTAATGAGGCAAAGGGGTTTATGTTTGCCATTGGATGCAAACTGCAAACATTGTAAGTTGCTAAATCATCACTTAACCTTAATGTTCCATAGAGTTCCAATCGCTCGCATGCCCGAGGGCCAATTAACTATGAGCCATGAAAGAGAGAACATTCCAAATGGGAGCAGTGTGGGGGAGCCAGGGGAAGAGGAAGGTGGAAATGAAGTAGCAATCGAGATGTTAAATTGTGTTGACAGTGCATTTTGTTAACGATTTCTGTTCAATTGGATTACAAAGTAATCAATTTTCAATTCCCCCCCCCCCATTCCAAATGTTGGTACAATTCCCATGCTGTGGTGTCTACTTAATGCTAAGGTAGCCAAGGACTGTGAGTTTAGTGTGGTGGTTAAAGGCATCCGGCTAGAAAACAGGAGACCGGGAGTTCTAGTCCCGTCCTAGGCACGAAGCCAACGGGGTGAGCTTGGGCCAGTCCCGCTCTCTCAGCCCTAGAAAGAAGAAGACCAGGGCAAACCACTCCTGAAACCTGGCTAAGAAAACTGCAGGGATTTGCCCAGTCTGCTTCCAACTGGCACATTTACCTCGATGCCGGTTCCTGCGTTTCCGTCTCCCAACAGAGGAGCTACGCACAGCGGGCTGTAGCTGGCCAATCTCGATGGGCGTGTTGGTCCGAAAGCTCTCCTTGAATTTCTGCATCAGGGTCTCCACTGTTTCCTGAGACACCTCTGCAGCTACAAGATGGGGGAGACAATGGGAGGGGAAAGTTAAAGGGGTCATAAGGGGATGCAACAATGAGTTCTATCCTATCCTATCCTATCCTATCCTATCCTATCCTATCCTATCCTATCCTATCCTATCCTATCCTATCCTATCCTATTCCATTCCATTCCATTCCATTCCATTCCATTCCCTTTTCTAGAATTTTTCAATGTAGTAAAAATATACAAAACAAAAGCAAAGATGGAAAATAAGAAGTAGAGAAAAAGGAATGAAATAAGAAAAAGAAAAAAAAGCATACAGTTATACCTTCCACCCTTCTTTTCATCAAGTAATTATCATCTTCATCTGTTCCCCAACCTCTTCCTCCCTCTTTAATCCCCAAATCCTGAAATCATCAATTCCATTTTTTCTTCTTTCACTCAAATTCCATATCAGCTTTCCAGTCTTTCAGAAAAGTCTATTGCTTTTTCTCCGACCAGACTGGTCATCTTTGTCATGTCTGCAAGTTCAGTTAATTTTGTAATCCACACTTCCACTGTAGGTATTTCATGGCTTTTCCAACTTTGCATACAATAATCTTGCTGCGTCCCGTCCCATCGCATCCCATCTTCTCAAGTTGTCTTCAGCATTCACCCCTGAGTGAATCCATATTAACTTTCCCCTCCAACATACCACTGTTCGCTTCCCTTTTGCAATGAGAATTGCCAAATGCTTGGTTGAAGTATCTATTGTGACATGTGCAACTGATGCTGAATTTAACCTAAGGTTGCATGGCCCCATGGCTGAGTTGCTATAGTCTTGAAGAAAGTATACATTAGACATGGTTGGCTTTTTCTCCCCAGGCAAAACTAGGAAGCAATTAGGCTTTCTGAAACCAAAAATTCTACAACGACAAACCTGGAAGTGACCTCATCATAAGACAGTCCCTGGGAATTCTTCCTTCAAACAAGAGTTGCTGCCTAGTGTAACTCTCCCACTCTATTTCCTTCTTAAATGACCGGCAATCTGTCCCTCTCTGACATCTCTCACTCAGAGTGAGGGTGACTCTCCTGGGCCTAATTCTGCTGACCCGTAGGGCCATTCTGCATATCAGACAGATTAATATCCACAAGGGAATTGGCTTCATGCATCTAAGGCAGAGTCACAAGGTAAGAGGCAAGATAGATCTGGGACGGGTTGAAAAAATAATGCAGTTTTCCACACTTGCCCTGCAGTGACCCAGAGTTACATTAGCTATGAATTGCATTCTGATTTAGCATACACCCAGAAGGCTCGGTAACGGGATAGGCTATGGCCTGCAAATGTTAATTCTCCTTCTGGTGAGAAGCCGAGCCCATTTTAACAAAGAACCCCAGGCACAGCTTTATGAAATAGTAAATGTGTAAACTGAAACCAGCTATCCTGCTGGAATGGCAAGGTGGAGGAGGCTTGCTTCCCAAGAAGTGGAGAGATGCAATTCTGATGAAAGGGCTTCGAGTCCTCTCTCCTCCCCACTCCCACCATCAACAAGAAAAGAATAACCAGAGATGGGAAAATGGCAGGAATCAGGACATTACAAGTCCCCTGTGAGAGCTCCTGATATTATTGGGCAAGAAAAGGTGAACAGGGTTTTTAAAAAGATGGAGGAGTGGAGAAAACTGAAATCACGTAGAAGGGAGGAAAAAAAAAAGAGTGAGATGGAGAAAAAGGTTGAGCAGTTCCTGAATCGGCAGGCCTTTGATGCCCCTACAATCTGGCCATGTAATTTCACACTCAGGCTCTGTAGCTATAAAGTTTCTCTGATAGCATCAGGTTACTAGATATGGCAGCAATTTGCAAGGCCTTTGAAGGATCCTGCTGGTGGCAAAGATAATGCACTGAAATTTCCCTCAAAAGGAGTTTTTTGAAGAGTCCATGATTCATCCAGGGTTTATCAGAATGACAAGCCGGATTCTCAGAGGAGGAAGTCATGCAGCTAGTAAGAGTTGAGGAGTCCAGGAGGGAAAATAAACTATCAGACACAATAACCTCTCCTTCATCAGTTTATTGACAAGCAAATCTGCATTTGTTTTGCCCGTATCCTTTTTTTTTTTTTTCTTGGCCACCTTTCCTGCGAGGAATTTGAGTTGGCAACCAAGTTCTTTTCAGGAAGGAAGGAAGGAAGGAAGGAAGGAAGGAAGGAAGGAAGGAAGTTCTAAAGAGCTTCACCACTGGGCCACAAATTTGAACCTGGGTTTGCCAGCATCCTTCCCAACCTGTTGCCTATCAAATGTTTAGGACAACAATTTTGGACACTTCTGGATAAGATTCTATTTAATTTAATGGAAAAGAAATTGTTTCTTTATCCTTATGCAAGGAGAAGAAAATGTTGGTGAAATTCTTGGTGGGATAAGGAATACTGGGATTTTTTGGATTTTTCCAAAAAAAAGTGTCCCTGAATGTCCAGTCTGTTACTGTACAGTCCTCTCTCTGCAGTCCCCTTGGCTTCCCACATTTCAATTAAATCCCAAGGGAAGATCTCAAGAGGGATCTCTTCCAACATGGCTTTTTCAGAATGGGAAATAGAAACAATAACCAATCCCCAATAATGGCCCTCTCCTTGCAGAAATGACCACCTGCAACCTTTGGTCACAAAGCCTCATTATTCTATGAAAGCATAAGCTTTAGTCCTTGAACTCTTATGTCATGACAAAGGGATAGTCTAGATGCTATGTGACCCTTGGCTATTGCTCATAGGTTGTTTGAGATTTAGGCCACCACTTAATGTTTCTGCTTTCTCAAGCAGCAGCTTCTGCAAGTATCTCTCCAGAAGGTAAATCACGGAACCCCTTTCTTCTTTTTATTCTTGGATGGTAGGATAGATGACACAAGTCGGGTCCCAAGTGTCCTCTTTTCAAGCCACCATCCTATCCCTTCTGCTTCTGCAACATGGCATGGAACCCCCATTGACAAGAGACCGAAACTGAAGATTCAGCAGCCCCACCTTCTGCGCTCTGAAGATACTAGAAACATTTACGCTCTGCTCATAGACAAAAAGAACAGGTAGACTTCCAAAGGCATGGCGTAATGTTGTTAGATATACACGAGGCAGCAAAGCAATAATAAAAATAACCAAACTTGATTGTGTATCATAGCAACCTGCAAGATACTGATAGCTTTGGGAAGTGATTTTGCTCTCCAGTCAGTTCTTAGATAAGCCAATTGGACTGGATTATAAACAAGGCAGGATAATGTGCCCTCAGGGGACTCCCCTCTTTTCCCTTCCCCACTCCCAGCCTCCTCAAACAGACTGATTTAAAGAAGAACATCCATCTGCCCAGCCAAGAGGAGGGGGAGAGGGAAAGGGAGGGGTATAAAATGCTAGACATATAAGATATGGCTTAAAAGAACTCTCAGCTCTTTCTTCACACTCACAATTAGATCATAGGTCGAATTCTACTTTTTTTTTTAAAAGGAAGAAGGATATACCTTTATCTATCTGTCTGTCTACTTATCTTGCCATCCATCCATCTTGCCATCCATCCATCCATCCATCCATCCATCCATCCATCCATCTCATTTTGAAGATGGGAAGGGAATTAAGGAAGAACAATGCTTTACAAACAGTACAGTTTCTCTCACAGGAAAACAGAACAAATGTACTTTTTCTCCTTCATATATTCATGAGATGCTTCCCTTCCCCTGAATTTTTCTTCTTCACTGTTCCAGGCATTGTGCCAACAACAGCCCTTATCTGGCACAAAGCAGGAAGGGGGGGGGAACTTGATATAATCACTCAAAAAGTTTAATAAATCTGGAGGGATGAAGAGAATCCCAGATTTTTGATAAAACTCAAAATGCTGGTGCCTGATCCAAGGTCACTGTGATCAGCCAATAACTTGTGCTGGATGGACTGAAATTCTGCATGCCAATTAAGGAGTCTAAACACGGAAGCCTTCCCTTGATCAATTCAGGGAATAATTCTTCATCAAGGGCATCACTTCTAGTATCCATTTAAAGTACTGTTTTAAATGGGGGGGTAAAAGAACTTGGGCTCCAACTTTAGAAGAAGAATTGATGCCTGAAGATCAACCACTGTAATAAAGACATCACACGGTGATCAAAGTATGCAATGCCTTCACAGAGAAGAGACAGCTCTTGAAATATTCCGCTCCTCAAATTGTTTCTGAAGACACACATATATAAACCTGGGTGGATAAATAAATTTTCTTTTTGAAACGATTACGTTGGACTGGCGGGATAGCAAAGCCTTCTCCCTCGCTTTCAAACCCTCACTTGCACCAGCAAGCTGTGGTTTGCCACCCCCGGTGCAGATGTGTTCTAATAAGATTTTCTGACAAATCTAGGAAACAAATTTGCAGATACGCATCAGCCTCATTGAAGCTTTACATTTTCACATGGATGTGGCTGATCTCTCCGGCGCACGCCATTAAAAAACAAAAGTCATGAAAATCATGGCTGAGAATGACTTGCTTGATCATTACTGGAAATGAAGATGGAAAGATGGGCTCTTCTTTGGCCCTTGGGTCTTCCATTTATTTTCCAATAGCCCAAAGGTTTTATTTCCTTCTGTTTGCCTAACCTGTACCTACTAAATTTTAGACATTCCCTTGATATTACTGTTGCCTATTGTGTACTGTTGCCGGTTGCAGAGATGAGTGTGCAGTGAAAGACAGGACTAGTCACAGAGACACTGCTTAGCCATCTCTTAATGAGGAGAAGCTCAGGAATGCCTTTCCACTCCACTCATGAGAATTTTACCAAACGTATCTTCTCCTTTGAGGGGGACAAAAAATCCAAAAGCAATTTCTTTTCCATCAAATTGAGGAGAATCCAGGAGACAGTTTCAGCAGAAGCTGCACAGAGAAACAAAATCTCTTTAGCTGTTCTGTACAACTTCAAGAGACTCAAAGACTCCTCTCTCCTGCCTGAAAATGCCTATTTCTACCAAGCGGGACGGTTTCCTGTCTCAAACTACGTACCACTCACCTTTCTGCTTCTTCCGCGCTCCCTCCCTCCCTCATCCTTTACC